CAGAGGGTTGCGCGCGCATGGGACAAATCGCACTCTCGCCTGCATTTGGTGCACTCGACACGCACGATCTCCGCAGAGGGTTGCGCGTCAAGTCTCCAAAACGAGCGTTTCGTACGAGACTTCCTCAAAAACTCACACGTCAAAGTCTGCAAAACGAGCGTTTCGTACGAGACTTCCTCCAAAAGTCAAGCGGAAACACCCATCGGAGCACACACATCACGCAGCCCTGCCAAGCAGTTTCGCGATTCCAGCCCCTCCAAACAACATCCGCTCACACGCCAATCCCAATGGGACAGCGACATTCACCTCTACCACAACTCACAACCTCACGATTCCCTGCGCCTGCCACGAATCTTTCCCCATCCACACGTCTAACGCGCACAAAGTACTGCGCCTGCCACGAAATGTCACCTCCCTCACACCTCGCAACCTCACGATTCCCTGCGCCTGCCACGAGAATTGCACTTCCACGCTTCAAAGCCCGCACGAAGTCCTGCGCCTGCCACGAAAAGTGACAATATCATCGCATGTGAGCTTCAACAAAATTTGCACCACACCACACGTTTGGAATGATTTCGACCCGTTCAGAGCACACTCCCATCCATCAAAATCGCCATTTCAGCTGAGACTTGTCACGAAAACAGAGCTTCGATGCCACGCCCTGAAACGCAAATCCCAATGGCACGGCCACATCCAACACCCCAAAAACACGACTCTCCAAACGCTAATCCCAATGGAACTGCGCCGTAACCTGCGGATCTCACAAAACGCTGCGCCTGTGCAGCGAAGTGCATCACGTTTCTTGCGCGACATGTCCGTGTCACACAAATCACAATGGAATAGCGGCGCAAACTGACACGTGACACATCCATGCAAAGTCACTTGCAAAAGCTTCCCCCAATGGCAGCAAATTTGAGACGCGACGACGACGAGAGACGACGAGAGACGACGACACGACGCAAGCCACGCGAACACAGCTCCAACCCCCAGACCCCCAACTATAAACGGGAACCCTTCGCTACGCATTCGGGAAACATAACAAAACAATAATTGCAATGCGCAACCGTTCTTCAATTGTCACATCCAAGGTAGCGACCTCAAGCGAACAAGCAACATGCCTGCCTAGGGTATCTTTTACAGGTCCCATTGCCTAACCTTCGACGGTGCCCAATTGTTGCCTACTTCTTGCAACCGAAAACCAGGAGAGTCGTACGATGAGTCGTACGGGTCATCCCACAGTCGTCCCGTCCCTTCGGCCGGTTCTGCCTGTAGCATCTATGATGGTAGCGCCACTGACCAGCCTCACCGCTCACGAACAACATGCATATATATATATATTGTTTTATATTCAGTACAAGTGAAATCGCGTTGACCATCATGGGATGATCATGTCAACGACTTGGAACTCTTCTGGCCACAGCTTAGAAATATATATATATATGTGTGTGTCTGTGTGTGTGTATGTTTTCCAACATTTGACTATATTTTTATGTTAAAATCATAAATATCTACACAAGCTGGCACGTGAAGAACACGCGCAATCTGACACAAAGGACGTGTGAATGGGTGTCAAGTGTTGCTGTGGGACATGCCATGTACGCTTGGGTGCATGTGCGCATATTTGCTGTGCGACCTTGCTCTTCTACCGGTTTTGCATGGATGAACATGCCAGCCGCAAATGATGTGGCTGAAAGGTTCATGCTCTTAGCAAAGCCCACAGAGAACTGTCAAGTGCGCCTCCGCTGCTTCACAGAGGCCACATGGGCAGCTTGTAGCATGTCTTCCAGCATGAAGACCCACCTTGTAAGAATGACCAGTGAGAGTGGGCACTCACCAAAGCTCAAAAAGAAAACAACAAACTGCAACCGTGGGAGCATTTTGTGTTTTTCACTCAGGAATCACGTCAACGAGCTGCAAATTTTGAAGCAATGGAGCCAAGCTCTCGCGGGAGATCCCTGCCATGTCGCTGGACACGGCACGGCCCAGCATCACGGGCCTCAGTAGCAATCCTCCAGGATGGGTCTTGTTTGAGCATTTTGGCCGGGGATCTCCAGATTCTGGAACTGAAGATCTATATATGAAGCGACAAGCACATCGGTCATCCAAACACAGGCTGCCTGGGCCGTCCGAACCCACCAAATGAATCCGATGGCAAGCGTTCTGCCGCAAAGAGCCCTGTCGCAAACTCTGCACGTTGGGACCTCACAATGCCAGCGCTTTGAGTCGAAGAATGAAAAGACAAATATCATGGACCATATGTTCGACGGTGCACACATACTGACACCCTTTCTACTCGAACATGCAGCCGTCTTACAGTCCGTCCACTGAAGTGGAGGCCTATCTCAGGCATTCGGGAGGAGCTAGGCCGGAGGTTCTGTCACAGGTCGCAGTATCTTCGTTTACGTCACTCATTTACATAGGCCTGCAAACTCCTGTCCTACTTGTCCTATTTATATATGTTGGCCTGCTTGAGTGAGAACCTCCAGGTGAAACCATGACTGAATGCCTGACTCGTATCTATCAGGCCCTATGGTACTGCACTAAGACATCCCATGTCATCTTCTTCCAGCTGCTTCTCAACCAACGCCTTCACTTTCGCATAGTAGCCCTGGCGGTCCCTCACAAACAGGGACTCAGCATCTGGATTGGCACCACCCTCAGGTGTAGCATGGGTGTCTGGATCAGCCAGCAAGGACTGGATTGCTATCAGAATCGTGCGTGCATCATAGGCCGGAGACCAACCAGCTGCCAAAAGATCCAAGCAAATCTGGCCGTTAGGGAAGACATTGGGATGGAAGACTTCAGTCTGGAAACGCACAGCAGGAGGCTTTCCAGGGTACTCTGGAGGGAAACTCATGTTCAATTTCCACACGCCGCCTTCCCATGCTGTGCCCTCTGGCCCCAACACAATCGCTGACCATTGGAAAAGGTCATCACCAACTGGGGCGGCTGAGACGCCCTTCGGTGCATCCGCTGTCATCTTTTTGAAGTCGCGCAGGAGACGACGTTCAGCAGACTGAGCACTCCCAGACGCCATGTTGCTGCAGTGGCTCGAAGCCTAAATTATGTGATGAATAGCACGAGGTATGTAAGTAGACTAAGTAGACCCGACTTAAGGCTTAGACACACAGCGTCATACTACAGTCGATTGCAGTTCTAAGTCTTCTAAGTACTTTTCTAAGTAGTTTGAGTAGGGGCACTACAGGATCTACAGGAACACAAAAAGGACGATTGGTGACTCTCCTATGCTCGGTTTGGCATGCTGGACCGGCTCGGTCCACGAGCCACACTGCACGGTGTCAAGGGCACATCCACACACACATATATATATTTACAGCAGAACTGTAATGAAACACACAGTAATGTTTTTTAAAATATTAGATACACATAGAAACCCTCACTGAGTAGCAACATTTGACATGCGTCTTGGCCTTGTTTTCGTTGAAAGCGAAACGTGCCTTCATTGATCTGATTTGTCATTTGTCTGATTGATCAGTGATACTCCAAGTGGCTTTGGCGCTAGCTTCCAAGTCCCATCAGCACCTAGGTCAACAGCTACCAGGTTGGAGGCCATCGCTAGTAGGTTGGAGGCGATCGTTCTTAGGGCCTTAGGGCGGAGGTCATTGCTATTAGGTTGGAGGCCGTCGCCATTAGGGTGGAGACTGTTGCTATTGGATCTATTAGGTCAACAGCTACTGTTGATGGCGAGCCGTCACTTTTCTACAGCTGGGCTTTTGCAGCGCATCGACGGATGTGACTCGCTAGGGCCAAGCCTTTGCATGCATCTGGGCCATGCACTGCGTTCACCCCATTCCTGGAATGTTCTCACAGCTTAATGTCACCGGCAAGAAGTTGTGTTGTGAGGTGTAGTGACATCCCAGACGGCCCAAGAGATATAATATACTATTAATCTCTGGTGACACCGTGCTTGACAGAGTTCAAGGGCAAACATGTTTCCACGCGCTTCACTGAGAGTTGACAATTCCTAGGGTCAACATTGCCTAAGCATGTCTAAGCACTCAACACACTGAACAGTTACGACAGGTTGCCTGGTATGTCAATATGCTTGCTGCTTCCTGTATGAATACGCGCCCTACCTTCAAAGGAACATGTCTACATCATCCACACAACCCAAACCCTTCCACATGGCCATTTTGACCCATCAGCGGATCATTCAAGAGCATAACAGCCTCCATGATGGAATCCACTTTGGCTTCGCGTCGCCACGCCTAGATCACACCAAAAAGCTGATATACGGGAGCAACCTGACGACGTGTCTGTTTCATTCGCGTCCTTGAAACAGCGGGGTGCGTTTGGCCAGCTGATAGTCATCTGAGCACTGCTCTTAGCGACCCAATACAGTAAGTCATTTCTGTGACACTCCACACGCGACATCCAAATAAATAACGAAGACTGAAACCGTAGCCTCCGCCGCGGCTATTCGATGAAGTTTCTGAAGCTTTGTTTGGATTTGCTGACTTCGTTCAGTGACAGCTCTGGCTGGCAATGCAATGCACAAAGTGATCTCTCACATCCGTTCATTAACTGCACTTCATTCACAAAAACACCGATTCGTGGCAAGGCTATCACCGATTCGTGGCTGCTCAAATGACACCAACGTCACATTCATCCGTTTCTGATGTCCATCACCGGTTGAGGTTTGCCTTAGATTGAGGTTCTGCATCTCCCATAATTCCACCCTCCTGTGGCACCTGAGCATTGAGGATCATCTCTTCAGCCTCTTCCACACTCTTCGTGCAGGTCAAGAAACCTTGGCAAACCACTTGCTTAACTTTTGCATGGCTTCTTCGCTAGTAGGTTGGAGGCCATCGTTATTAGGTTGGAGGCCATTGCTAGTAGGTTGAGTTGTCGACAGCAATAGGGGTTTCTTCTCGAACCTCTGAGTTCTTCAAGGTCAAGTTCCGCACGCAGTAACATCAATGGATGAGCCATGCCTTGATGGGGCCAGGTCACGCAGCAAAATGGGGCCACCCTCCATGCTTTAGTTCAAAGTGCATTGTGCAGGTCTTGAATTTGCAACTTGTCCTCAACGCAAAACTGTCGAGGGAGGGGGTTGTCATTGTTTTCACTAACAACACATACTCAAAGGCTTCAGTGGAAGCCTTTGACTGTTGAGGATTGATTCTCAAATGGTGCCTTCCTAAAACACCGCCTCGCTCCAGATCTTGATCCTTCAAACGCTGGAGGAGCTGGTCCATGGATGAGTGATACCTGCAACGCCGAAGACAGCGAAGCGTGTCGGCAAAGCAACCTATTCGGCTGAACCTGGCGAAGCAGCCCAGCACTAGTCCTTGCCTGGGTGGCACACCATGCGCAACCCAAGCTATGCCCAGTGGCACCTAAATCGGCGTGGTCTTGCAGTGAACGAACGTGCAAAGGTTTCAAGATGTTTCAAGTTCTTACCGTATGAAGCCTACTTGCGATGGCCTCCCCAAATTGCTTCATATTGCTTCTTGCTCCTAGTAGTAAGGTCAGGAGCTACTAGTAGCGCCCTTGCTCCTAGTGGCGATGCCCTTTTGCTCCTAGTAGCAAAGAAACCTTGCAATATGGCTTGAAATGCATGCAACATTGCACTTGAACTCATCTATATGCATCCCTGCATTCTGAGTGAGTTGTCATTGCCTGCCCAAAACCGATGCAAATCTACGCTACAGTCCATGGAATACCTTTTTTGGGACACCCACTTAGTGACTTGCATTCATGGGGTCCATATGTCCACCATGAGGTGGACCAACAGCATCGGAAAATATCGGAAAACATATATATAGTATATATATATATATATATCGATTAGAACCCGATGAAATTGTTGTGGGCCCCACCAGCACAAGGGCCGTAAGCGCTCCGGCACGACTCTTTGGCCGCCGCCTGTGGCCTGGCGGTTCAGCTTCATGTCATGCATGTCAAAGGGAACGTCCTCAAAAGACCTTCGAACACATCCTAAACACGTCCAAAAGAAGTTGCTTGGTTTTGGATGGTTTTGGCATGCTGCTAATGTTATGACAGTTGTGGCAGTTGCTTAAGATGGATTCAGGGTAACATCCTTTGGTCCCTGTTTTGTGTATACAGGTGTTTGCTATGCTGGTTGCCTTCAAGGCCCGACCCCACTGGGCAGGGTTCTGACGCACCCAGCGTGCCGAACTTACCATGCTCAATGCATCCCACGTCACTTTTGAGCCATTTGAGTGCACCTGTCGCATTCCCAGGTCTCGGAACTCTTGCTATTGTTGTGACGCCTCAATCTGGACTTGCTGGCTCTAGAAGGAACGCAGCCAGATCCTGCACGGTCTCGAAGTATTGCTGACACTCTTGGCGCATGTAATCCTGGATGGGCTGAACTGAATGGCCCCAGCCAGCTGCCACCACCTCGAGGCCTGCAGCCTTGGCCATTTTTACACCCGGCGATAGATCGTCAATCACTAAGGCATCACTCGGCTTTGCTTTGAAGTAGTCTAGAGCATGAATCGCTGGCCATGGCGCAGGCTTGCGACGGGCTGGGTCATCATCCCATCCCAGAACTAAATCTGGTCGAATTTGCTCCGCCCAAGGATGTGCTTCATAGTGACGGTGAATGACTTCAGCAGGGCTGTGAGACACCACAGCCACTCGACCACCTTTCGCTCGATACTCACTCAGTAGCTCCGGAATGCCTTCGTAGAACGATGGAATCTTTTCATCCATTGCTTTCCTCCAAATCTTGTGCTCCTCTTGCATTAGCTCGGGTGTGAAGAGAGATTTGAGGTAGCACGAAACACCAGGATCATGATTCTTCTGAAACCACCCAGCGAGGGAGACAGGTATCAAGTCAGGTCGTAAAGCCTTCACGCTCTCGACATGTGCTGGGTAGTGCACCTCCTCAGTCCCACGAACGGTAGTATCGTCATGATCCAACAGCAGCACGCTGAAGCGAAGGGACGCCGAGTTGCGGTTCGGGCTCATTTGGCTCATGGCACTCACCGGACTGCTTCGAGGCGTGACGGTGTCCTCCGTCTCGGCCATGGCCATGGTCCTCCGCTCCTCGTGGTGCCTCGCTTGCTCCAGGCGTCGTGCCTCGCTCTCTGCGGCCGCACGGCGGAGCTCTGCACGGGCCGCGGTGGCAAAGGCCGCCTGGGCACGAAGAGTGGCGCCAACTAAGATGGCCAAGGAGACACCTGCGATGACTAAAGCGGCAGCTGCTGCAAGCGGCATGGGACTTTCAATGAATCTAGCAAGTTCGTGGACTACCCATGACCTTTACCACAAGATATGTTTGGTCTAGCGATTTCCACCCGGTAGGTTTCATTCTCAGTCAGGTGCCGGGATGTATTTGCTGGTGCACCCGTCTTCAAACAAGTCGTTCATCAGAGTAGTCATGACGGAACCATCTGAAAGCGCAGATTCAACTGCAACGACTCTGCACAACTGGCTTAACCATGTGGGAGAGCAAGCTGGAATGAGCAAAAGATATGCACAGGCGACTGGCAAGGAATTCAAGTCAAACAACGCCAAGCAAGGCCGCAAGGCCTCCTTCACAGAGTGGAGCCACAAGGCTTTCGCACTCCATGGCATGAGCTGTGAAACGACAGGCTTGGTAGTTCAAATGTGTCCAGGTCAACTCATCTCTGCTTCTCAACATTGTTTTGCGATGTTCATAGTCTTGCCCTGTCGCCTACTGGTGTGCCACTGCAGCCACCCGGAAGCCACCCGGAAGCCACCCTGAAGCTGTACAAGCTGCAGATCAGCAAGGCATCGCTGGATTGACGCTTTTTGACTTTCCCTAGCTTCCAGCGCTCGCTCAGCCCACCAGAACTCTGCCAGCTGACGCGGCAATCTGCAAAAAAAACTATGTGTTTTTCACACTTTCGGGCAATTATTAACCTCACTCTCTCTCTCTCTCTCTCTCTCTTTTTCTCCCTCCCTCCCTCCCTCTCCATCGCCCTCTGGGTGCCTGTTCTCTAGAATTCACTAGTAAATATAAAGTAGCTCTACCCGCATGCGGCTAATGCTGGAAACGACTAGGGAATGACAGTTTCAGGCATCTCCCCTTCCTTGAACCGGTTACAACACACAAGAAGCAACAGGTGACCCCATTGGGATCCAGTTGAGGGAATTAAGCCCCTTTAATTTAAGTACCTCAATTCTGCAAGATCATCGTCTCCTGCACCAACCATGGATGGTTAGCACTGGTGTTTCTGCAAAGTAGGAGCCATGAGTGGGCATGTAAAATTCTGAAGTTTGCCATGCCATTGCTCGCTATTGCTAGGTGGCATACCCTAAACTTTCGCGAAGGTTCCGCTCAAAGAGCCACTAGAATCACTAGAATAATTAGGCTAGAACCACTGCATTTCGATGGAGTTCCAAAAGGAATGACCGACTCAGTCACGACATCTCTCTACTATCCACTTCAAAGGAAAATTGCACCCCGCACTTTCCTATATCATGTTGGCTTGGCCTGCTATTGAAACATCGGTGAGGCGAAAGGCAGCCGCACATAAGTTTTTCACAAGCTGCGATTGCCCGTGCCAAGCGCACATAGGAGGCTCCAGTCATCACTACATTTCAAATCAGTGAAGTCATCAAAATTGAGCAGCTTCATGCAGCCTGCTGCTCAGGGCCTTAGCAGCAAACAAAGCAAATTTGACCGAGCTAGCAGCTAGCAGCTATTGCTGTTGGTGCGAAGTTGGGGATGATCGAATGATTGAGCAATCTGCATCTAAACACTTTGATCCCATAAACTGAAAAGCTCGCACTTGCTTACTTAATCACTTACTTACTTGTTTACTTACTTAGAAAACTACTTACTTGGAAAAGCAAACCAAAGCCAGCGGGCCCAAGGTCTGACATATTGAGCCACACCAACATCTGCACATGCAACTAAAAAGAAAGAGAGAGAGAGAGAGAGAGAGAGAGAGAGAAAGAAAGCAAGCAACCAGGACTGAGTCCATGGTGTTCGAGCGGGCCTCCGTTAACGTAATTATGTGTTTTATATACCCGTGCCGACCAAACATGATTTGATGCCCTTTTGATTTCATCTCAACCCTGACAACCCTCACCGCCCTGACCAGTAGTAATTAGATTCACAAAACTCACCAACCGCCTTCGTCCCTCATCGCTCCTGACGCAACTGAAAGCCTTGCCAACTCTTGCAAACCCCACGGCCCTAACGTCAGAAGAGAAGGGGAAGCACGCCGAAACAAAGACAATATTGTTGTATTGTTTGTTTCAAGACCATCCATGCTATAGAAATGGAAAGGCAACACTCTGGCATCTCCCAATATTGTAATATTACCGTTTCATGGCTCATGTTCTGATCTGAACTGATCTTCCATGCCTGCCGCAAGCCAAATGATCCACACCACCAACTACTAAATGGTGCATCAAAATGCATCAAATACAGTTTCCAGAATCACTTCTGAATTACTATACTCTGGTGCAACACGCGTGGTGGTGAAGAGCACCAGAACTAGGTACACGGCGGATAGACGGCCGTGGTGTGATGAAGGATGTTCGTGGGGCAGTCCGTCTCAAATATGCATAATTCCATTAGGAATGATGTGAGCGACACTTCATCATTGGAATCATTGCGAATTCCATGCAGATTTCGATAAAATGGGAGTTTCGTTGAGGCGAAATGACGACTTCGAAGGATTTTCGAAACTACGCAACTAATTTGGCCGTCATATATTTATATATCAACTTCAAATCTAGTAGCGATGCCCTTGTTACTAGTAGCTTCTGGTTCCTAGCAGTAAGACCATGGGCTCCTAATAGCGTCCTTGCTGTTAGCAGCGATGCCAAATGAATGCCAATGCCTCTGGTGGAAGGTGTTAACATGTTCATCCGCCTGCCCTTGGGACATGCGTCGAGCACGGAACCGTTTCTTTTCACTCTTCAAAGGAGCTCCTCCAAGCAGCGCAAGAACTGAGCGGGTGTCGCACAGTTCAAGCTTTGTCGCCAAGCCCACATGTACACGTACTGCGGCACGCTGGGATGTATTTGCGTGTATGTATTTGCGTGTGATTTCTTTCTTTGCATTTCAGAACCAGGTTGGCCGGCAAAAACTCCTTTAAGGTCCGCCAGTAAGACCATGGGCCACCGATCTTGCTGCAGAGCTATTTGCAACACTTCAAGAAGAACCGATCAGCGGTGGAACTTCCACTCCAGGTTTCAACAAACTATCAAGATACCACGGGTCTACCTCAAACCATGCTCGTAAGAATTCGGGGAGCTGATCCACCCTTGTCCAACCCCCTAACCTCAACAACAAAAGAACAGCCAAACCTAAAGCGGAAACAAAGGAAAATTCCGCCATATGAGCAACAAAACTGCATCCGGATGAACGACATTGGGGTGGTTTCAGGGGTCAAGACATGTCCCAAACACTCCATGTATGGCATATTTACCTACATTGGGGTGGTTTCAGGGGTCAAGGTACTAGTACGAGTATTGTTTCGCGTCGAAGAACCAAGGTGGAAGCAGGGGTACCAAAATAGACTGAAATAGATAACATGCTACGCCACAGGTGTGCCTCCCCCCCCACCCCCAAAGAAAATTCCCACAGGTAGTACTGTAGAAAACAAAATATCCAAAAATGTAAGAAAAGCCCACGGCCGTCTATCCGCCGTGGGCCAACTACACAGGTGCACTTCAAACATAGTGATCGGAATCCTCTTGTGACCACATGGAAGTCCTGACAAGAATCCTACTGCACAATGCATCAGGCGATGGCACGCCGTCGCAACTTGTTGTGGAAGCTAAGAACCGTTGGTTTGCACCTAAACGTTTTCACCGAGTGTGAACTCATGTTGTTGACGTCCCCAGTGAGGAATTTGTTTGTCATGCAGGGGCAGTAAAGCACCTATCAAAGCAAGCACAAAAGCACAAATGAGAACTGGGGCTGCAGGCATTTCAAACCACCACTTCGGTGACGACCGCCTTGACCTGCAAATGAGCAAACCTCTAACGAAGTGCACCCTTCTAACATGACATGTTTGCCAAGTGCGGTCTCCATCAGCCTCATTGGGTTATAATCCAAGCTTCAATCCAAAAACAGCTTTATAAGGCGTAAGTACAAAGGTCGCGATATGTTGTGATCATTCCTGGGGGTTCACGCCCAGGTGTCCCCTGATTTGAAATTGAATCTAAAGCTTGTCTCTGCCACTATAACTATACAGTCCATGTATGCTGCTGTTGCCCGGCAAAATCATGCAGGGACAAACTTCTGGCCTGCTCCCGAATCGTTCGGCAAACTAGAAACCTCCGGCAGATTTTTATTTGCTGCAAATGGCCTTGCTGCATTCCTCTTCGACAATTTGGGCCAGCTGATCCACACTCTGCCCAAGTTCCTCTTGGTGCTCACAAAGGTTCAGAAGCACCTTGGGACAAAAATTCAGGTCCCTCGCATTGCCCCCTTTGTCTTCTTAGGGGTTGATATTTGCTACATGGTGTCACGCGGACACTGACACTTGGAAAAGAACTCTTGGTTTGGTTGCGGCCACTCTGCGACCTGATCATGAATGGATGCAATCATGAATGGACGCAAAGGAACTTGGGAGAACTTCATGTTGTAGCCATTCCAGCCGCCTGTGGCATGATGGCTGGAAGAGACAGGGCAGTGCTCGTGCACAAGAGTTGCCAACTTCTTGTGGCAGTCCATGTCCTCGCAGGGTTGCCCGGCCTGTGAACCTAAAGGAAGCATTCAAGGAAACAAACAGGGCCATTGGACGTATTCAATCCTTCCATGACACATAAACTTACCATGATGGTTTTGTTTATGAGTCGCCCACTTTCCCAACACACACCTAGCTGATTGAGAGCAGCAACAACAATTATTATCATCCACACCCGATCCATCCAAACAAGGTACAGTATAGCGACGGACATATACACAGGGTATTTTTCCAGAAACAACATTCCCATGTTCTAAGTGTACACTTGGAACATCCATCTGAGCAGAACTGAAGTGATGAAATATATATATATATAAATAAACATATGACATATATATATTATGTATATATATATATATTTGTTTTTTTGTTGATATTGTAGAGGTACATACTCGGTTGCGGCTCCCTCCAGGAGAGCTTTGGAAAGCGCCGCCATGCGTGGCTACCTTTCCCTGGGACGAGGCTCATTCCTCAAAAGTTTGTATTTGTATGTAATTATAAATGTTCTAAGTGTATGTTTAATGTCCAGTGCTAAGATGTTCTAAGAGCGTGCACTCAGAACTTCTACCTGGAATTTGTTTGTCCAAAACGTGTTCTAAGTGATTGTCCGAGACTATACAAACTCCGCCGTCCGAGGGTCCTTCATCTCAGCACGGTCTCCCAAAATGCTCTGCTGGCACTCGTCCAACTGCACTTTGGTGGAACCCTCAACGCACGTAGGCGGTAGGTCACATAGACGTGTCAAACAACATGAAGTGAATGCAAAAGCATGGTTGCAGCAGAACCTGTCATCGCCGAGCAGCTTGCTGATGAAGGGTTTTTGCGATAAAAGTACGTGATATAACATATACAACTATAACAATCTTTCAAAAATTGGATACGCACGTAGACCCATGTCACATAACTAATTTCGGATAGGCCACGAAATAGTCGGAACAAATGGGAGAAGTCGGCCGAGAAAAATGAATCAGTCTCAAACGTGGAATCACCAAGGCTCGCCATGAAAGTAAGGACCGTGCACACTGGTAGTGATAAATTGTAAAGAAAAAAATGACCCAAACAAGAAACCGGAATCATGACATCACCTTCATCATTGTCACTTCACTGTTCAGACATGTTGCGGTGCCGCTTTCTACATGGATCGCAGCAGTAAACGTGTTCCTTCAAAATGCGCTACTGTACCGCTACGCTCTTCTTTCTTAAGCACTGGGGGACAAAGCTTCAGGGTCCGAGTGGCTGCACACGCTTGTCGGCCCATTGTAGCAAAGAGTTGATCATCCCTCTCGCGATCGTTCACAATGCCCACAAAACGAGCCCAAGCCTTGATGGAAAAGCTGGCAAGTAACACAGTACTGCACATTTGCCGTGATACCCGCCGGAATCTTACAAGGTTCGTTACCAAGCGCCTTCTCACCATAAAAACACATGGCCTCCCCCTGGTTTTCTACATGTAGGCATCAGCAAGGTAAAACGTGAGGAGCAAAAAACAATGCAACCTTGAATAGAACAGCACTGCACGGGCCTTCTCCTTCTGATCCACGGCCGCGTTTTGCCATGCCCAGTAGGCTTGAGTCACCTGGAAGAGAGTCAAAGTTTTGCAGAAGCCATACCAAAGCAGAATGCAAGCCGATCTCATCGATTCACCTCCCTATTGACTGTGTCTTTGAGGTCTGGATCAGTGAATCTGTGGCTCAGGCCCAGCTACAATTGTACGTGCGTGCCTGTGAACAAGTGTGATATCATAATTATGTAGCGGTACATGTTCACAGGTATTGGTATTGTGCACCCCACCCTCCATCCGCAATGCCACCCTGAACATCTGGCACATGCAATTTCCAAGGAGGCTCTTAGATATCAAGAATGGATCCAGGCATGTGATCAAGAGCGAAAAGCAATGCATCAGAATGAGAAATTACACACATCACCAAGCTGCATAAATGTCACGTGCGTCCACCGCACCCTTAGAGGAGTCCGAGAAGACATCAGAGATCAAGGCCCCTGCAAACATGCGGACGTCCCCCTTCGGAATCCGAGCACGCCGTACGCATTCCACTCGCCAGAACTGGCGGCGCCAAATAGTTACACCGCAACATCAACATAGATCAACCAATGTTCAACAAATTCTATATATATATATATATCGCTACTAGGGGCAAGGACGCTACTAGGGGCTCCTGGCCTTACTACTAGGAGCAAAATTCGCTACTAGGGGCTCCTGGCAACGCTACTGGTAACTAGAAGCTTTTCTGGCGCACATTGCAGGAGGATCATGCGTGGACTCCGTGTGACAAAGGTGATGTGCATCAACTGCTTGTTGTATGTGCCTGTTTGGCGCATAGCGTTCAATTTCATCAACTAGTATCAGTACGTCCCATTAGGTGCTGGCGGCAAAAAATCAACACAATAAGTGCTGCACCTTGCCTTCCACTCGGCCGATAGCCTCATCCTCGAAAGACTTGTCACCAAAGCCTGGGCTTTGGCAAGGAATGCATTGCTTTGAGACGCTTTGAGTCAGGAACTCATGACCACAACAGTGTGATATTGGCACCCCTGTCCATTTAGCAACTAGTGAATCGATGCAGCCGCAGGCACTGCAAACATGGCTCTTGTTGGTGAGTTTGGTCACCTCACCCGTGCAGTGGCCGATGGCGGCTGAAACGCAGAAGGCCCTGGGAATGACTTCATTGAACCATTTCCTGTGACTGTTGCTCTGCTTGCTTAGGGGCGATCTTGGCATACCTTTGCGACTGACTGTGAAAAACCCTCCTACTACCTTTACGCTTTACAGTGGCAAAATCGACTTCTAATGTAGCTGCGGTTGCCCCTGATTGGTTGGCTCGATTGGAGCACACACAGCCCGCAAGCAGAATCGAACAAAAGTAGATCAACCTAAAGAGCGAAACACGCAAACATATCCTCCAGTGGCCTTCGAAATCTGTGAGCGGAAGGTCTCAGATGCCAATTTGCCCAGGTCGTCATCCTGCATAGCTGCCAACTCCAGGATACATGTACACACACATATATATATATATCCAACAACATCAAGCAACTCTTTCGACTTGCGAGCAACTGCGGTGCCGTTTCTGTGTCCCTTGCTAAACGGGCATGAATGAGATGTTCGGGACCCACACAGCCTCCATCCAGTTCACTGAAAACAGGTCGCCCAGGCAGGAACCAATGTTCTTGCCCTTGACCACGGCTTCATCACCTCCAACATTTTTGCCACAGTCCCTTCCAAAAGGAACCACCAAACACCATTCAACCGCTCAGCCAGTACTTTGGCAGAAGTGCTGAGTTTACAGCAGCTTGAAGTGAAGCATAGAATCGCAATCAAAACTCTCTGAGATTGCTGAGGCCCAGGCCACAGTAGGTGCCCCAAGACGACTCCTGGCACGGGCGATCGGCAAAGCACAGCTACAGTATCTGGACACCAGTGTGACTGGTCCTCACCTTTGCAAAAACGGCCATTCATCAAAAGAATCCAGTGTCATTTCATGCCGCCTTTTTATCCCCATGAACCTCTTGCACGGGCAAACCACATATGCTGCGTGCCTTGCCATTGGAAGCCGTCACAGCCAGAATCTTGCCATCATCTTTCAGATCTGGGAACATGGAACCGCTCTCGCATGCCTCCTTAGCTTTGCACATACGAACTCCCAGGGAGATGATGTGCGGATGCTCACGGCCCCCTTCCCCGCCAATGTTGCAACACATACATCATGGCAAAAGCACGTGTCAAGTGCCACGACAAGCATGTGATTAGCAACATGTGGGAAGTAGGAAGGTTTCCATCATGCTCGAGGAACAGGAATAGGAAGTGAAGGCGAGAGCAGCCTTCAAGTGATTCTTGCAATCAAAGGCCTAAAGATAGGCAGCAATCTTGGGTGGAGTTTGCTGCAACATTCTTCACACAAACCTCTCCGCACCTACGTGTTCTTTGCTTGCAGTGCCATGCGAACAACGCCCACAAGTTAAAACTTGTTGAAAAGGATTGTAAGGGCATGTATGGGCGGTTGCTGTGGACTTCTAAGGCATAAGGCAGGTCTCTTTGCAAATTGCAAATTGGCTGGGAACATGTATGAATGATAAATTTGCCAAACATGTAAAAGTTATTGATATAATATTATATAGTCGGATATGTTCGGTCAGTCTCTCGATATAGAATGACTGTGGTACGCGCAAACCTCAGGTAACCAGGTAAGCAAACAATTCAGAAACCGCTGCTCTTACAAGTCCATACCCGAGCCACAAATGATGTTTTCAGTAAGGCGCACTTCCGGACAAACGGCAGTGTATGGCATGGATTGGTAGCGTCATCGCTTGCAGTGACACCGTCTAAATTGTAGAACAACTGACAATCGTGACTACTATTACTATGGTTTTGACCAACTAACTAGGCATGCTCCAAACCTGAGCAAATGTAAACAAGCACTACTGTGCGGCAAATGTTGTCAGATTGAAAAATCACCCTCGGGACATACGAGCATGGACCACTAGTACACGGCACAACTATGATGTCATGTGAATTCCCCCTGCATAGGCCCTATCTTCTCAACGGACATGCAAGAGTGATGGATGGGTCGATGCGAGCCGAACTCGCAAGCGTTTTCCGGCACTTGCATGCCAAAATGCCATGTAGAACACCAGCTGATTAAACATCTTTTGGCTCTGCATGGTCTCCAGAGTCTTGGAAAGGTCCTCTCGCATGTCACATGAGGAAGCCAACTTGGATTTCAAAACGTATCTTTAAGCAGCACTGTTGGTGTTGGTTGTGTAATTTGGATGCTGTGCGCTTCAACCACAGTCCTTGACATGCAGGAAAGGGCCGTTTGGGAAAGCAACAATGCCAGGACCTCCGGTGAGGCTGATGTTTCAAGTTCGAGAATAATGCTGCGACCCGAACTACGATTGATTCGCACACATCAGCTGGAATCAAGCCGAACAACACCAAAAAGGCAAGAACTTTAACTTGACATGCTGACGTACATACAACTTATACACTTTGATGTGTATGCTTACTGCCGCTGGCACGCACAAACCAAGCACACACGCAAATGTATATAACATGTATTATTACATAATATGTAATATGTACTGATATGTATGTGTGATTGTGTGTGTGTGTCATGTTCGTTCGCATTGCAGCCGTGCGAACTACGCATTCATGCATGGAATTCCTCCTTCCTCCAGGAGTTGCACTTCACGCATGTGACTGTGTGCTTCTAAAGGCAGAGCCCCCCGAGGTACCACCAACGACAACCCAGCTTTGAACTTTTGACATCTTTTTGACTATGCGGTATACAATTGGGAGAGCTGGACAACAAACCTCGCAGCATCACTGAATAGTAATTAGATGTAATTAGGCTAAATGGTTCACGTGAATCACTGAATCTGCCTCCGTGATCGACAAAATTGACAAAGACCGTGTCTTTCTCCGTGCTCTTGAGCACCTGCCAGTAGATTATCTTTCGCTGCCCGGTTTTCAAAGTTCAATTTGGCGAGAGGGCTGTGGTGCTCGGGGGTGGTACAGGTCTCTGCTTGCATCGATGTCAGTGGGGAGCGCCTTGCCCTTCCCCTTGCCAGTGAGCACATCCAGAAAGAGCTGAGCTGTGACAATGTCCCCAGAGTAATCAACCTTGCAACCCTTGTAGACCTCATGTCGGTGCTTGCATGGATGGAATGCAACAATTGCCGCTAATCATCGGTGGCAATACAACTCCACGCCACAAACGCAATCTGGACGGCACTAGTGAACATTGTCAGGTCAAAATGAACACGCCATTGTCACAAGCAAACGCTCAGGTACGAGTTTGATCTGGCGATGGTAGTAAAAAATTATCCATCAAAGTCAGACCTGGACAGCCTATCCGGTCATGTCATGCATGCAACTTCCGCAAACTGCAATCTGGCTTGTTACATCTGGAGTGGCATCCAGAGATGCATTGCCCGGTTTGTTGAAGAGCTGTCCAGGGAAGGGATTCTCCGAACTCTTCACCACGTCATCCTGCGAACAGGCGGAGCCTGAAGAGGATGATGATTATGAAACATCTAGCATCCAAAAGTGGTTGCAACAGTCCTGCATCATGAGGATGATGTTTGCAGCTGGCACGCCACTCTTCAGCATAATCTGGTAAGCATGGCAAGCGTCTGCCTGATGACGATAGTTCATAAAGCCTCACGGCCAACAAGCGCTAGCCAAGCGGCATCAAGTTCTCTTCTTTGGGGCAAGTAACAGCAAGCAAGTCAACTACAACAGGCAGTTCGAAAAGCCTTCCAACAAAATCGAAGAAAACCGGAGCACGGTGTTCCCACCTTGGGAGCCAGCAGCAATGACAGCCCATTTCTCAGCCAATGCCACAGGCAGGAAGAGCAATGAAAGGATAACCCGGGCTGCCATGGCCTGCAGAGCTGCCCGTGGATACAGTGCGCCCCTGTCTGAATGATGTCTGGAGGGTACAGTAAACGAAATCGAACCGCCTGTGTACCTGTCAGTGGCGGCAAATCTGCACAAGACTCGTTACAATTCTCTTAGCACTGGTTCTCTTGCAACCCGGCAGCCCTGCGCCTCAAGCTTCTCCAAATCAAAATCCCAGCGGGGTACTGTAACTAAAAATCCAATGGTGGCTTGAGCAGCAAATGCACATGGTCAAGTCATGGCACCACCTGGGGCTCAGGGTGCGCCGGTGGCGCCGGTGGCACCAGTGACGTGAGTCCAATGGTGTTCCAACCAGGCTTATCACGCTCACATGAGAGAGGAGTTGCTTACGCACCCCTTTTTGCCTCATGCGAGTGCCAGTTTTGGCTGAGCTCATGCTCACAGTGACAAGTTGAGACGTGAGCCCTTTGGTGCGCGAAGTGTCTGTGCCTGCTCCATCTCATCCAATCTCAGCTCGAGTGCCTGAATCTGTTGATTTCAGGCATGGTGTAATGGTGCGGTCTGCAGTCTCCGGTGAAAAAGCTCCTAGCTTCCTGCTCCTTGTAGCGATGCCCTTTCTCCTGGCAGCGTCCTCCACCCTTCGATCTTGGCCTCATTGCTTCGCCCATTGCCAACCCTCAGCGTGCTAGGCATCCAAACTATATTGCCCAGCGCGACGGCCCATGGTTCTTAGGTCCATCGGCCATGATGTGGAATACTGCAGCTTTTCGTGAATTATCATCTCATAAGGATGTCCTGATCCTTATCCAGCCATCACCTTCAGCTCATCTGATCATTTAGAAGGATTCTGCTCTGGCTAGTGCCGATCTGCGTCCTCTGCAGGTGGCTTGAGCTGTGTGGGGGCACCTTGCTTTGACGGGCTTGACATCTCAGTCACTGCAAGTGGTTTGTCTTCGGGCTCTTCCGGCTTCTCTCCTGTATCTTTGCCCGTCATCTCAGCTATCTCTGTGTGATCCTGGGCAGTACTACCAGGCTGTTGGGGCCAGGGCTGGTGTTGATCTTGGCTTTGGGAACCTGCTCTTGCAGTTTCTGGAGCACTTCCCTCCACAGTACTTGTCTTTGTGGCCACTGCCTGTTCATCCTCTGGTGCTTCTTTCGGCGGATTCGGTTTTGCTGGTGCATCGGCATCTTCCGCA